CCTAAGTATTTTATTCTTTTGTTGCAATGGTAAATGGGAGTGTTTCCTTAATTTCTCTTTCAGATTTTTCATCATTAGGGTAGAGGAATGCAAGAGATTTCTGTGCATTAATTTTGTATCCTGCTACTTTACTAAATTCATTGATTAGCTCTAGTAGTTTTCTGGTAGCATCTTTAGGATTCTCTATGTATAGTATCATGTCATCTGCAAACAGAGACAGTTTTACTTCTTCTTTTCAAATTTGGATTCCTTTTATTACTTTTTCTTCTTTGATTGCCATGGCTAGCACTTCCAAAACGATGTTGAATAATAGTGATGAGAGTTGACATCCTTGTCTTTTTCTTGATCTTAGAAGAAATGGTTTCGTTTTTCACCGTTGAGAACAATGTTGGCTGTGTTTGTCATATATGGCATCTATTATGTTACAGTTGTTTCCCTCTATGCTCATTTTCTGGAGAGGTTTTATCATAAATAGGTGTTGAAATTTATCAAAAGCTGTTTCTGCATCTATTGAGATGATCATATGTTTTTATTCTTCAATTTGTTAATATGGTATATCACATTGATTTGCATATATTGAAGAATCCTTGCATCACTGGGCTCAATCCCACTTGATCTTGGTGTATAACCCTTTTAATGTGTTGTTGGATTCTGTTTGCTTGTATTTTATTGAGGATTTTTGCACCTATGTTCATCAGTGATATTGGACTGTAATTTTCTTTTTTGTGATATGTTTGTCTGGTTTTGGTATCAGAGTGATGGTGGCCTCATAGAATGAGTTTGGGAGTGTTTCTCCCTCTGCTATATTTTGGAAGAGTTTGAGAAAGATAGGTGTTAGCTCTTCTCTAAATGTTTGATAGAATTTGCCTGTGAAGCCATCTGGTCCTGGGCTTCTGTTTGTTGGAAGATTTTTAATCACAGTTTCAATTTCATTACTTGTGATTGGTCTGTTCATATTTTTTATTTCTTCCTGGTTCCATCTTGGAAGGTTATACCTTTCTAAGAATTTGTCCATTTCTTCCAGGTTGTCCATTTTATTGGCATAGAGTTTCTTGTAGTAGTCTCTTAAGATCCTTTGTCTTTCTGTGCTGTCAGTTGTAACTGCTTTTTCTTTTCTAATTTCATTGCTGTGAATCCTCTCCCTTTTTGTTCTTGAGTCTGGCTAAAGCTTTATCCATTTTTTGTATCTTCTCAAAGAAACAACTTTTAGTTTCATTGATCTTTGGTATTGTTTTCTTAGTTTCTATTTCATTTATTTCTGATCTGATCTTTATGATTTCTTTCCTTCTGCTAACTTTGGGTTTTGTTTGTTCTTCTTTCTCTACTTGCTTTAGGTGTAAGTTTAGTTTGTTTATTTGAGATTTTTCTTGTTTCTTGAGGTAAGATAACATTGCTATAAACTTCCCTCTTAGAAGTGCTTTTGCCACTTCCCATACATTTTGGGTTAGGTGTTTTTATTGTTATTTTTTTCTAAGTATTTTTAAAATTTTGATCTCCATCTCAATTTCTCATCTCCTTCTGGGACCCTTAGAAAGCAAATATTGATATGCTTAATGTTATCACAGAGATCTCTTAAATTGTTTTCATTAAAAAATTCTTTTTGCTCTTCTTATTGGGTGATTTACATTATTCTATCTCTGGATCATTTATGTGTTCTTCTGTATAACTTGGTCTGCTATTCAGCCCTTCCAGTGTTTTTTTTTATTTTTTATTTTTTTGCAGTACGCAGGCCTCTCACTGTTGTGGCCTCTCCCATTGCGGAGCACAGGCTCTGGACGCTCAGGCTCAGAGCAGGCCATGGCTCATGGGCCCAGCTGCTCCACAGCATGTGAGATCTTCCCAGACTGGGGCATGAACCCGTGTCCCCTGCATCGGCAGGCGGACTCTCAACCACTGTGCCCCCAGGGAAGCCCTCCAGTGTATTTTTTAATTTCAGCTATTGAGTTCTTTATTTCTGACTGGGTCTTTTTTATATTTTCTAGTTTCTTGTTAACATTTTCACTGGGTACATGTATTTTTTACCCCCTAATTCAACCACAATTTTTATTACCAATGCTTTGAATTCTTTGCTGGTGAATTGTTTACTTCTGTTTCATTATTTATTTTTTCAAGAGTTTTCTCTTGCTCTTTAAGTTGAGACCAGTTCCTCTGCCTTTTCATTTTGCTTAACTTTCTCTGTCTCTATATATTTAGGTGAAATGGTTACCTATTGTTGTCTTGAAGGTTTGTTATGTGGAAGCACCCCTATACAGACTGCATGTACCCAGTGCCTTTGGTAGGCGAGCTATATTTACATGGATGCAATTCACAGTTTTCCTTAGCATGTGCTAGCAGCTTTCACTTTGGTAGTGGGTGTGGCTGGAGATGGAGGCACTGGAGCTGCAGTGGGTTGTGAGGTGGGACATCCTGTCTGCTCAGTTGCCATCATCACCCAATTGGGGTGGCATCTGACCCCAAGTTGCTGGAGCAGAAGCCTTCTGGGTCATGCTCCAGCTGTCTCTATTCCATTTAAGTGTGTGTTTTCCCCTCTCTCAGCATTGGGCCCCTTGCCCCAGAGGAGGTAGTGTTGAAGCAGGAGATTCTTGTGTTGGTCTCAGACAGAAGTTCAAGCTGTCTCTGATGTGCTGCCTGTGCAGGCACCCGCAATTGTTTCCCTTGCTACACTCAGATGCAGCCTCGGGTGCAAGTCCCCTTTGTCCCTCACAGCCAATCACTGCCCCCAGCCTCCAACCCCACCCTGTTGTGGACCCATACCACAGGCCAAGCAGGGCCCATGTAGGCTCTTAGTATATACTGGGAAGTGAGCTGTGAGCCACTGTCAGAGATCTGAGCTGCATCTAATGCACTGCTTTAGTAAGCACCAACAATGGTTACTGCCACCCCACCTAGGCTCTTCTCCAGTACCAGGTTACCTCTGTCTCCTATGGTCAGATCTTTCCCTACTTGTGCCTTCTCCAGATCCAGTGCCACACTGTGACATGGAGTGAGCAGGGCTGAGTGTTTGCTTGACTAGGGTGCAAGCCAATGTGCTCTTCCTCACGAGTGGAGTCCAGGCTTCCCACAGCCCTCCCTTTAGTCCCAGCAGTCCTCCAACCAGCCAAGAGGGCTCATATCTGCCATGTAGGACCTCTGGATTGAGGTGCCAAGTCTGTGGCTCTCACTCCCCAGGGTGGTGTCTCCCGTGTTATCTCCCTTTTCCTCTGAGCCCTCTCCCAGGGGCAGAGTCCTGACCTGATCACTTTTTTTCCCTTCCTACCTGATTATGTGTGTATCTTATAGCCTTGGTTGTACAGGATTCCTTCTGCCAGTTTCTAGTTTTGAGTGAGGATTGTTCTTCATATAGTTGTATTTTTGATGTGTTTGAATGGAGAGGTAAGCTCCATATCTTCTCCACAATCTTGATTGATTTCCTCAGCTATAGGTTTTGCATGCACTTCTTCATCTGCTTGAAGAAGTTGGAGTTTTTTCCTTGTAGGTAAATTTCCTTGCATATATACTTCAGTGAAATGGCAAATTTTGTTCATAGACAGTGTTTGCTCATAGCATGGGAAATTATGAAATTATCTTCTGGACCACATTCAAATTGTCAAATAGTTATTTGGATCCATGATCTACTCTCCAACCCTCCTATAATTCTAAATCTTTCTTTGTCCTTAGCTTTCTAATTACATTTATTTCATGTTTCTTTGAATCTACTTCTCTTATCCACATTTAGGGGCATTCATTTACAAATTTCACATGGTTTTAAACAAAATGTATTCCTACTAAACACATAGGACTATATGTTTCTGTTTTGACAAGAGACTCAGAAATAGGAGTAGACTGCCAAATTGCATTTTGTGATATAGAACATCCATCAGAGCATTATAGGGTAGTTAGGGCCTCATTCTGAAAATTAACTCTAGCATTTGACTTTTCCATTTCAACCTTCCACCTCTTTCACTTCTTGGGCACACTAATTTGGAGACATAAATTATAAACACCAGGTACATGTATACTAGCCACCACATCTTGAAAATTCTCAAGGGTTAGATAAAGCAGACATCTCAGTCATACACATAGAAAAGGACAAGAGTGAAGGTTTTAGCATTTTGGTGTAAGCTTCTTAGCCACTCCAAAGATGGTTTATCTAGATTACAGATTGGATTAAGATTCCAAGTCTTGTAGCATGGGCTCCATGTAGAAAAATTTTTTAAATCACACTTTTGTACTTCGTTGAGCCTTAGTTTTGTTACCTACAAAATGGAGACAATAGGAGTATCAGCTAATATAGTTGTGTAAGGATTAAATGATCTGATACATGTAAACTGCCTAGAATAATGCCTGGCACATAGTAAGAACTAACATGTTTTATTATTTACAGGGGTGGTATATCCAAAAAGTTAAGAGGATGGGTTTAGAAGTTAATTCAGTTTTCATATGAACTCTTTGTTCCATTTCCTAGTAACATGAATTAAGCAAATTATTGTTTGTAGTTTATTTATGTGTAAAATGGGAATTAAGGAATATCAGCCTCTTCAGGTTATATAACTATACAATGAGACAAAAATAATGTAAAGACCTTAGCACAACGTTTGTCATATAAGAAGTACTAGATTTATAACAGGTAGACCTGTAAAACAGATGATTGTAAAATCTGAGTTCCAAATAGAAAAAAATGAAAGAAGAAAGACCTTGTGAAATCTTCCAGTTATTTCAGTGGTTGGAATTTAAAAAAAGATAGTAGATCCTTGGTCTACTATATAGTGTGAGATAGTAGGAATGAACATTTCTAATGTCATATTAAATCACATTCATATTGCATTATTTGAATCAATTAAGTTAAATTAAATTAAATAGGATTATTAAAGTATATAGTATTTGTTTTGTGTAAAGAATTAACATGGTGTTTATGAACTCTGGCCAAGAGAAAAAATCTGTTATAAATATTTTAAGGTATTATTATTTACATTGACAATGAAATAAGAAAAGCCTTCTCAAGGATTTTTATATTCATTGCCATGAGGCAAATACTGACTAAGATTTAAGCATGATTGTTTTTGATAATTATTGATATAAGCTGTCAAGATGAATGTTCAACATTTTAAGAAGCTGACCAGCTTTTCATGGTGGTTGTCAATTGAAAATTGAAAAGGGCAGATTTTCCAGAAACAAATGTCATTACCTGACACTGAATGTCAATTTGCTATATTCCAGTGGATCTTGTTATTTACATTTTTAAATGTTTTAAGTGTACTGAAGCTTAACTGCAAATAAGAATCACTTGGAGGCTGATAGTTAAAATAGAGAAGCCCACCCAGACTCAACCTTTGGAGCTCTTGCTTCATCAGGAAAAGGATCAGAAATCTGTACTTAAAAAAACAACCCAGATGATTCCATTGATCTGGATTTGGGAAATGCTGAACTTTTGGTCTAAGACATTTTTATTCTGGTCCTAAAATAGCGCATGAGACTCATAAGTCATTGCAAAGAGTCAGATAAATATACTTTTCAATAATGTATATGTAAACTATGTGAATCATTTTGGGGGAATTTTCATTATGTGGTATATTTTATACAAGAGCTTTAATAAATTACAGAAAAAAACTTTAAGAAGTGTCAACTTAAAAATTAAAATTTTGACAATTGACATTGTCCTGAATTTCATATTCTTAAAATATTTCTCACTGAAACACACTATAGACAATTTTTATAGTGGATATTTTTAAAGCATACAAAGTTTATGTTTCATATTTTTGTCATTTTCTTTTTAGACTAAATAGTATAGAATTAAGTTGTATATATTGAGTTAAAAATCTTTTCCTCAGAAGCTATTTTCTTATGACGCTTATAATGCAATTTCTCTCTCTCTGTCTCTCTCTCTTGTCTCTCTATCTCTGTCTTTCAAGCCAGACCAATATCCTATCAGCACACAATATATTTATGAAGCAATATCCTAAAATATTCCTGCAGAATAAAACCAGACTGCCTAAACTTTTCAAAGAGGAAGGAAAAAGGTAATGATGTTATCTTTTGAAAGCAAGGTTGTATGTGTGTGCATGTGTGTGTGCGTTCACACATGTGTGTGCATGAAGAACAAGTGGAATTCAAACACTGAAAGTGTTTGGTCAGTTCCCAGTACTGCATGTTAAGGATCAGGCAAGGAACTACAAAGCTACAGTAAGCAAGACAGTATGGTACTGGCACAGAAACAGAAATATAGATCAATAGAATGAGATAGAAAGTGCAGAAATAAACCCACACACATATGGTCACCTTATCTTTGATAATGGTGGCAAGAATATACAATAAAGACATCCTCTTCAATAAATGATGCTGGAAAAACTGGACAGCTACATGTGAAAGAATGAAGTTAGAACACTCCCTAACACCATACACAAAAATAAACTCAAAATGGATTAAAAACCTAAATGTAAGGACAGACACTCTCAAACTCTTAGAGGAAAACATAGGCAGAACACTCTATGACATAAATCACAGCAAGATCCTTTTTGACACATCTCCTAGAGAAATGGAAATAAAAACAAAAATAAACAAATGGGACCTAATGAAACTTAAAAGGTTTTGCACAACAAAGGAAGCCATAAACAAGACAAAAAGACAACCCTCAGAATGGGAGAAAATATTTGCAAATGAAGCAACTGACAAAGGATTAATCTCAAAGATTTACAAGGAGCTCATGCAGCTCAATATCAAAAAAACAAACAACCCAATCCAAAATGGGCAGAAGACCTAAACAGACATTTCTCCAAAGAAATTATACAGACTGCCAACAAACACATGAAAGAATGCTCAACATCATTAATCGTTAGAGAAATGCAATCAAAACTACAATGAGATATCATCTCACACCAGTCAGAATGGCCATCATCAAAAAATCCACAAACAATAAATGCTGGAGAGGGTGTGGAGAAAAGGGAGTCCTCTTGCACTGTTGGTGGGAATGTAAATTGATACAGCCACTATGGGGAACAATATGGAGGTTCCTTTAAAAACTAAAAATAGAACTACTGTATGACCCAGCAATTCCACTACTGGGTATATACCCTGAGAAAACCATAATTCAAAAAGAGTAATGTACCAAAATGTTCATTGCAGCTCTATTTACAATAACCAGGACATAGAAGCAACCTAAGTGTCCATCAGCAGTTGAATGGATAAAGAATATGTGGCATATATATACAATGGAATATTACTCAGCCATAAAAAGAAATGAAATTGAGTTATTTGTAGTGAGGTGGAGGGACCTAGAGTCTGTAATACAGAGTGAAGTAAGTCAGAAAGAGAAAAACAAATACCGTATGCTAACACATATATATGGAATCTAAAAAAAAAAAATGCTCATGAAGAACCTAGGGGCAAGACAGGAATAATGATGCAGACCTACTAGAGAATGGACTTGAGGATATGCGGAGGGGGAAGGGTAAGCTGGGACAAAGTGAGAGTGTCATGGACATATATACACTACCAAATGTAAAGTAGATAGCTAGTGGGAAGCAGCTGCATAGCACAGGGAGATCAGCTCGGTGTTTTGTGACCACCTAGAGGGGTGGGTTAGGGAGGGTGGGAGGGAGGGAGACACAAGAGTGAAGAGATATGGGGACATATGTATATGTATAACTGATTCACTTTGTTATAAAGCAGATATGAACACACCATTATAAAGCAATTATCCTCCAATAAATATATTAAAAAAAAAAAAAAAGGATCAGCCAAGGAAATAGAGATTGGTAGGGAAGGTTCAATTCATACAATCATTTTGGAGGCATTTTAATTATGTGATATGGTAACTGGTACTAATAAATAAATGTAGCTCCCTGAGTTTTTTCACTAACGTAAGTAAACAACTAGCCCTATATAATAAACATAATAAGATAAAATACTATTAGGAGTGAAAAAGATAACATAATAAATGATGCAGAGAAAACTAAGAAAATTATAAATTATGATAGAATACTTTATATAACTTGGAAATAATCTAGATATTGTTGGTTCATTTTCTAAAAAATATGTACTACTGTATTTATTCAAGAAGATAGAAATAAAAAATAACTATGTACAAATAGAAGTTGTAAAAAGTACTCTTCAAAAATACTTTTCTGAAGCTAAAAGAACAAAAGCAAAAATTAAAAACCCATAGTCCAAGTGATATCACTATAAATTTTATATCAAGAAAAAGTATTTTCTCTGCAACTTAATGTCTTTGGAGTATAGAAAATGAAAAGTAGGTTGTATATTTGCCATGACTGTATAACTCTGATGTAAAAATTTAACAAGAATAACATAAACAAGAAATAACAATTTTAGTTATGAGTATATAGGCATACATAAAAAATAAAATATTAGCAAATGAAATAATGCAGTAGTCTATTAGCAGATTTGTACATTATAGTTAAGTTGGCTTCATCTCATTAGTACAAACTGGGTTCATTAGAAAAGCTATTATTAAAATTTTATAATATTAGTAGCTCAAGGAGGAACTATATGATATCTACAGATGATGAAAAGGCTTTTCATGTAATTCAGTATCCATGTCTCATAGTAAAAGCAAAATCATGCAGGTAAAAACATAATGTGTGCAGTCATGTGACTGTTAATAAATACAAAACATTTATATTTTTTCAGCCAGAAAAAGACCTCTGCTCTAAAATAGCAATAAAAATATCTTAAACTGAATGAAAATAAAATTACATAAAATATATCAAGAAATTGTAGATCTCCTCTAATCTTGGCTTACACTGATCCCTCATGTAAAGTGATAAATCCATATATGCCCAGGTGGTGGAAATAGAGCTGCAGTAATTCAGAGAAGCGTTTGGCAGAATAAAATCGATGAGGAAACATGAAACTTCATAGACACTAAATGCCTGCTCTATTAAAATTATTCTTCAACAACTTTTATCTCTTATCATTGTCATAATCAACACTCTAATTCATTTCACTCAAATGTCATGTGACAGATACAATAGTGAGACTGAAGTATGGCACCTGCTTGGCTGTGGGCAGCTGGCAAGAATGCCTGATACCAGCGCATTTGCTAGATATTGAAGTAAGACAGTCGTGTGCAAGGAGAATAGAAGAAGAAATCCTTCATACACCATTAATACCCTGAGAAAACCATAATTCAAAACGAGTCATGTACCAAAATGTTCATGGCAGCTCTATTTACAATAGCCAGGACATGGAAGTAACCTAAGTGTCCATCCATCAACAGATGAATGGATAAAGAAGATGTGGCACATATATAAAATGGAATTTTACTCAGCCATAAAAGGAAATGAAATTGAGTTATTTGTAGTGAGGTGGATGGAATCTAAGAAAAAAAAAAAGGTCATGAAGAACCTAGGGGTAAGACAGGAATAAAGACACAGACCTACTAGAGAATAGACTTGAGGATATGGGGAGGGGGAAGGGTAAGCTGGGACAAAACGAGAGAGAGGCATGGACATATATACACTACCAAACGTAAAATAGATAGCTAGTGGGAAGAAGCCGCATAGCACAGGGAGATCAGCTCGGTGGTTTGTGATCACCTAGAAAGGTGGGATATGGAGGGTGGGAGGGAGGGAGACGCAAGAGGGAAGAGATATGGGGATATATGTATATGTATAAGTGATTCACTTTGTTATAAAGCAGAAACTAACACACCATTGTAAAGCAATTATACTCCAATAAAGATGTTAAAAAAAAAAAAACACTAGGAGCAATGCTACACCAATGAAAATAAATGGAAGACCTGGCTGAGACATAGGGAAACATTTCTACATGAGCAAAAAATGTGAGTAAATGACAAGAATGAGACCAAGGACTGCTTGGAACTGTGATCATTACCTAAATTTTATTTTTTTGGTGGATCATCTAGACAGAAAGTGAACTTTTGGTATATTCACAGATACAGGAAATCAAATAGATACATTGTTTTAAAAAGAACACTGAATTTTGAACCAGAAGACTTGGTGAATTTTTTATTTCACCCAATAGCAGCAACATGACTTTGGAATTGTCTCTGAACATTGAATGCATTCAGTTTTTACTCAGAAAAAGAGGATAACATTATCCTACTTGAGAGTTATGAACTTAAAGAGTTTTTTAATTGTACTGTTTCACTGGTATCATGGACTATAGATGGCAATGTTATTTTATATAGATTTATGCCATCTCTCAAGAAGTTCTGCCTTTTCATTTAAGCAGGTTAAGCAACAATCACCACCATTAAAAAGTAATAAAAAAATCATTACATTGCTTGCTTCAAAAGTGTTTTTAAACAACAAGAAAATAAGTAGACTTTTAATCAACACATTTTTACATCAGTTTATTTCCAGAGGAAAAGAAGTTTAAGGAAATGACAGTAACTGAAGAAACAAATAATATGAATCCACAGAATTGTGGAAACCTATGTAAAAGATACATTTATTAAAGGTGTGGTTTTTTAGGGGGATAGAAATTCAAATATTTTTAAGGAAGCCTGCATTCTTATTAATACCTTACTTGACTTTTATAAAAATTCCTATTTAATGTTACAGATACTTTAGGGAGACATATGTAAGGGAGATAATATTTTGTATTCTCTTTTGATATATTGTCCTAATAATATGACCATTTCCCTTCCTGAAATCCATGCACCATCATGGTTTCAGAGAGAAGGGAAGGGTAAATACTACTTTGAGAAGCAGGAAGATATAAAATGTAGGCACTTGGGGGAAAGTAGTGATATAGAAACAGAAGAAGTTAGCTAAACTCGAGAATTGTTGATCTTCATCTACTCCCATCCTTGGTATGAACCTCTCCATGGGGATATGAGGGTTGAAGAAACATCCAGATAGCTCCTGAAGAAACTGCATCCTCTTGGGCAGTGATAAACAACTTGTACTACACATTAGAGTCACCCAGAGAGTTTTTACAAAATACTGGTGCATGGTCTCATTTCAACCCAGACTTTTTAAGTTGGAATCCCTGACTTGGAGCCAAAGCCTAAGTATTTATTTAAACAAATAGT